ATATACACCTGCTCTTGCTTGTCTAGTCCTTTATATATATGTTCTCCTGCATGTGAACTGGCCTTGTGGCCTTGAACTTGTGCTCGGAATGTGTGGTGACTTTGTGATCCAGCCTGAGCTTCTTTTGCTTTGCTTTGCTTGACTGGTCTTGTGACCCCTTGTTCTCCCCCACTTTGCCTAAGGGGGTGTGTCAAATTATAATGCTGTGTAGGCTCTAGTGGGGTAGCCTATATGGGGTACACAATTCTAGGGTTGCATACTTGTATCACTTTCATTCCTTAGTCATTCATTCTCGTTCACATTTTCTCACCAAGGTCCCTCTGGTCGACCACAACTCCCGTTGAGCTACCCCCTGGTCGACGGACCCCTTCCGTCGACCAGAACCATCTGCGGTTGTCGCCGAGCTCCCCTCGTCGACCGCTGCTCACTTGTCAGGTCGACGGACTGCTCAGTCGACCTCTCGGTCAAACGGCAGGTCGATGGGATGCTCCGGAGAGCTCCCGGTCGAACGGCAGGTCGACGGGATGCTCCGGAGACCTCCCGGTCGAGCTGTAGGTCCTGGTCGACGTCCCACCCGTCGCCCAGACCAGTCAGTTGTAGTTGTCGAGCTCCCTGGTCGACAGCAACACCACAGCTGTCCCCTGCAGCTCGACGAAGCCTGTCGAGCAGCTCTCCCACTGTGAACGGTCGGCTGCTACTCCCGTACATCCGACCAAGTCGTCGGCGTTGCCCAAGCGAGGGCGGGGCCAACACTCCATTCCTGTTAGCAGGGATGGCATTGCCCTACTTGTACTCATCCATCCTCCCTAATCACTTATTCTTGCCTACTATTTTTGACAGAGAGGGGAGGGCAGGGATGAGTGAGGCGAAACCTCGAGGCAAGGCGAGGCAAGGCAAGGGGAGGCAAGGGGAAGTGAGGCGAAGCGAGGTGAGGTGAGGAGAGGCGAGGTCTCTAAGGGACGCACATACTTGAGCAATCTACCATCACTGCTCACTGGAGCGAAGACATCCCTGCATTATCCGAATCACAATAACCCATTTGTGTGCTTTCCGATGTCAGAGCAATGCAGCATCGTCGCAAAAACCTATGCGAACTCAACTGGGAACGCCATGCCTTTTTTGGCACAATCGTTCCCAACAGTGCTATAGAACATATAACCACCAGTCTTCTCAAGTGGGATCATCATCTTAGTCCTGCCCGTGGGTATCACAAACACATTCTTGACCGCCTTTTTGTCACAATTCTCCATCGCGGCTTTCGTTTTGGTGACCGCCAGATTGTGCTTCGGAAAAAAAAAAAAAAAAATGGTCCCAGCGAGTTTTGCCCCGCTTGAAGACTGCGCGATGGGGAAGAGCCGTGGAAATGAGATGAGATGAGATGAGATGAGATGAGATATTGGAAGCACACGCGCGCGAAGAGCAAAGGAAAGGTGTGGGGCAAGGAACAATGTGGGAAGGCGTTTGGCAAATCAGGTTCCGTGCTTTGACTTAGATGAGGCTGATCGTTTCTTATTGATAGTGACAAATGAAGAAGGAAGTCTCGCAGCAGTATCAATAACATGCAGAATGAAGCCTTGTCATTGTTGACCGTGACAAATGAAGAAGGAAGTCTCCCAGCAGTATCAATAACATGCAGAATGAAGCCTTGTCATTGTTGACCAATGGAGCCGCAAGTAGGAGGCATGGCGTAGCGTGGCAGCAGCTGTGTTTAACAAACAGTTGTTTAGTTTGGTTTTAGGCTTGCTTGTAAAAAACCTTAGTGAAAAAAAAATTGGCGGTAACTAGTTTCGGCTCTTCGAGCCTTCTTCAGACCACGGGTTCAAATGAGAAGCAAGCTGGGCTAAATACCAGCCCGTAGGGCTCAATCGCGATGCATTCCTCCGCGTGGCCAGGGAAGGTGGGGGAAGATGAAAACAGTAGAGAACAGATGTACAGAAAGCTAGCACTTATGAGCTGAAATTAGATAATTACCGACTCATTTTAGTAAACTTCAAGCGAGAATTGCCGTACGTGTAGAAAAAACACCGTGTGACATTATACCGAGTTGACTTTTAGATCGACTCAAAAGTTGACTTTTGAGTCGACTCAAAAGTCAACTCGAAAGTCTCGCAGCAGGATCAATAACATGCAGAACGAAGCCTTAGGGATCTTATCGCTGTTGCACGTGATCTTATGCGGGAACACGGGCCAGGGAGACTATAACGCATACCTAAGATGTCGGTAGTCTCAATATCAGGTCTGGTCCAAGGCTTGACGCCAGGCCATCCATTGGTGCCGCCGGCCACTATCGTTGCGACATGCTGCATGGAATGACAGGGTGTTGAGACTTCATAACCATTGCATCTATCAGTGTGTAATGCACCGAAAAGAGATTGAGTAAAAGGGTCAAGAGGGTATTTAGTGCGATAAGGGTAGTAAGGGCAATGCGGACAGCGAGAAGGTGAAAAGGGGAACGGGAAAGGCGGAAAGGACTTGTGGTAGCTCATTTACCTTGACTGCAGGACGGGTTGTTCCTGCAGGTCCAACGAGCACCCTGCACAGTAATGCAGGCGACAGCACGCAGCACCCCCGCTCAGCACCGTACAGCACAGCACATCACAGCACTGAACAGCACATCATAGCACAGAGCAACAATACCGTAAGAAACACCCGAATGTTAGGTTTGACATAGACTCAGACAAGAATGTATAGACTTAATCTGACCAATCACAAAGCCCTAAGGCCTACACGGGAGGAGTCGGTGCAGAATAGTGTACGCATGTTAAAATCTAGTATTTGTGGCTGGGGGTCGAATATCATGTGGACCCTCAATGATTGAGTGATAGGCATGTCGTATGCTACGATAAGGTTCGAGTTCGTACATGCCAGGAGAAGCAGTAGCGCGACCAGAGTTAGGGTACGTTCTTGGCTAGTGTATAGCTTTGGGCCAAGCTGCTAGACACGAGGTGAAATTGACGGGCATGAGGGAAATTTTTCGATTTGTGTCAGACGTTACTGGAGGGGTCTGACACCAGGCAAACTTGGCCCGAAGCTAGACACCAGCCAAGAACGTGCCCTTAGCCGAGACATTTTTCCACGAGAGTAGAGGAGGCGTCGGTCGTCGAATTCGGATTTCTGAATGCAGGCGAGGTTGCTAGTACTGCGCTGGCGTTTGCTGAAGGTTCTTTCTGATGCTAATGGGCGGAGTCATGTCTGTTTTATCTACGGAAAAGGACGCGCCATCCCTGTTTGGCAAACTTCCCGTGGCGGAAGCAAGGAAGGCGTCGATCGAGCGGGCCCCGCTCAGCCATTGCCGGATTTGGTCTGGGCTCAATCAAGTCGCTGTCCCATGGTTTTGAAGGTGTACTATGGCGGTGTATGGCGGGCCCGCCATGGATGGTTGTGATGGTTTGGTGATAATGGTCGGACTGTTGAAAAAAAAAGGAGGAACAAAGCAGGGCGTTGCCAAGGTGTCCGGACCTGACACCATCCAGCTGCCTTCTATGCCGTGTGAAGGCTCACTTGCCACCATGAGACTCGTGGCCTGCGATCTCGCAACATCGTCGCCGCGGCTTTTACCGTACATCTACTACACTCTCCCTCCAATGACGTTAGCGCCATTGTCAAGCTTGTCTGCTGAACACAGGCGAGGTTGCTTACTTGTGCTCTCTGCCATAGCATAGCTCCGGTATACATTTGAAAGTAGAGGCTCAAAATCCTTAGCAACTTGAAAAGTTGCCCCAAAACTGTGAGGAACAATGTAAAACCCTGAACCTCACTGACAATTGTATACTGGAGCTTTAAAAAGACTTTCTTAGATTTGATGCGTTGGCATTGAAATGTTCTTTTAGGCCGTGTTCCTACGCCTCGTGTCAAGCTAACCTCATATCAGGCTCACATTGAAAATTCTCCTGAACCCAAAATCCCTCTCTAGTTGACCAGGCTAGTCTGATATGAGGTTTCCTGATATGAGGCGTAGGAACACGCCCTTATTGTACGGCCAGGGAGAGGACACCACACCGAGAGTCCCGCCCTGGTATAAACTCGCGGAAAAATCGTGGAAGATGTTGGTCGAGCGGGGTGCGCACCAGGGCTATTTTTATCAGTGTAAATCACCCTGATGCCCTGATAATCAGGGTGGTTTTTGGGAGTAACACTGATGGTCCAGGGTAATTTTTCTAAGAGTCAAGATTACCCTGATGTGTCAAGGTTTACAATGTAGGCACACTGATGACTAAGGGTTCCCGTATTCAATAATGAGTTTTTCCCTGAAGCGAGTTCCATACCTCCCCCCCCCCCCCCCCCCCCCCCCCCCTCCCCCCCCCCCCCCCGCCCCCCCAGTTCCCCCACCCCCCCTTTTTCTAGTAACCCAGGATTCCCGAATCCCGATTGCCAACTGGCGAAACCGTAATTTCGGCCTTGACAACGCATGTGCTGGCTCAAAGTGGGCCACCATAGGCCAGACTTGCGGTTTCTCCAGGGTTTGTCTTTTAAGAACACTGATGCGACAGGGTAAATTTTTGAAAACCGACATAAACCCTGATGTAACAGGGTTTTCAGAAGGGGTCACACTGATAATCAGGTTTTTGACCTTGTACCACACTGCTCATAAGGGTAGTCAAAATCCAAAAATTAGCCCTGGTCGTGAGTCACGACCCATCACAGGCTGATTTTCTGCATAAAAGAATAGATCAGTAACAAATTGTAACCACTTCATATTACCGTATGTTCTTTAATTCACTATATTGCATTCTGAGAAAAAAATGAAGTCCCACACGCTTGCTTTTCAACAGCCTACCAGCCAACAACACCCGGATATTATTATTCGACTCAAAGCTTGTTGGGCAATGGCCTACTGGTGAACACACGGACCAGCCTAAGCTCATCTCCCTGCCCTCCCTTCCACTCGCTGCCTCACGTGTGCGTCTTGCAGTGACCTGACGCCCTCACGTGTGACTGTAAATGGCTGCAGTGGTGGCCTGACGTGGCCTAAAGGTAACAGCTTGTTTGGCAGCACCCTACTAGTGACCACCCGGACCTTGCAACAACACACCCCTTTCACTCCCTTCCACTCGCTGCCTCTTGTGTGCATCTTGCAGTGACCTGACGCCCTCAGATGTGACTGTAAAGGGGGCGGTGCCCGCCCGCAGGTAGGGTGACTTAAAGAGGTGAGCAAATCGCTGTCCCCCGCTCCAAAAGAGGATCACGCGATTGGTGCACGCGTGCGCCCAGCTCTCGCCTGATTGGAATGCGGAGGGCGGGAGATTTGTGGGGAAAGGAAAGGGGGAATAAGAGGGTAGCACATACACTTCGTTCTCATTAAATGTATGAGCTGCTGCCAATCCGCTCGAAAGAGGATGATGTGATCGGTACACGCGTGTGCACAGTTCTGCCCTGATTGAAGGGCGGATTGGGGGGATGTGGATCATGATGCATGGCGGCAGATGGACAGCGGCAACTGCGCATGGCGGCAGATGGACAGCGGCAACTGCGCATGGTGGCAGATGGTTTTGCGAAACGCAAAGCACCTAATGTGAAGCAAAGTGAATAGGGATGCACACACACCAAGAGCAGGAACAAGCCGGGACACCTCGCCCTCCACCTTGGTTGTGACTTGATTCACCAACACCACCTGCACATCAATGGATTGAATGTCCCATGCCCCATGCCCCATGCCCCATGCACATGACATGTGGACACAGCGCATGAAGCCACTATGAGGTCATTGTCTCGAGGAAACATATAATAGGAACGTTATGGTCATCTCCAATGGTGAGAAGCTCTCTTTCCATGGAGGCCAGCAGGCGCGGAGGTAAGTCAATGCAGCACACGCACAGGTCATGCAACAAGGAGAGGACACATGCATGCATGCAACAAGGAGAGGACACATGCATGCATGCGATGAGCAACACTCAAAGCCACGTTGTGTTGTCGGCAATGGCGAGCAGCTCCCTTGCCATGAAGGCCAGCAGGCGCAAAGGTGAGGAGGGTGGAGGCGAAGAGGCTAGCACGGTGGCACAAGTCATGCAAGGAGAGCACTCATGCATGCACTGAGCCACACTCACAGCCACATTGTGGTTGTCAGCGATTGCAAGCAGCTCTCTTGCCATGGAGGCCAGCAAGCAGGCAGAGAGGGAAAGAGGCTGGCATGGTGGAGCCGTTCATGCAAGGAGAACACTCACACATGCAGCGTGAAAGGAGAGGAGTACCGAGACACACTCACACATGCAGCGTGAAAGGAGAGGAGTACCGAGACACACTCACACATGCAGCGTGAAAGGAGAGGAGTACCGAGACACACTCACACATGCAGCGTGAAAGGAGAGGAGTACCGAGACACACTCACACATGCAGCCTGAAATGAGAGGAGTACCGAGACACACTCACACATGCAGCATGAAAGGAGAGGAGTACCGAGACACACTCACAGCCACGTTGTGCTCGTTAGCGATCGCGAGCAGCTCTCTTGCCATGGAGGCCAGCAGGCGCGGAGGTAAGTCAATTCAGCACCCTAAACCCTCCACACATGCATTGCAAACACTCACAGCCACGTTGTGCTCATCAGCAATGGCGAGCAGCTCTCTCGCCATGGAGGCCAGCAGGCGCGAGCGCAGACCCATGTCTGTGAAGCCGTGGCGGAAATGGAATGTGACACTGTCGATCACCACTAGCTTCACCTGTAGTATGGGTTATGTGGAGTGGATGGGAAAGGAACAGGGAAAGTAGCAGGGAAGGGAGCAGGGTAAATGAGAACATGTGAGCGCAGGCCCATGTATGTGAATCCGTGGCAGAAGCAGAAGGTGGCACTGTCGATGACCACCAGCTTGACCTGCCGTGTCAATCCTGTGTGCAGGACTCGTCAAGAATAGACAGGTGGGCTGCAAAGGCCTTACTTCCATCAACTTAGGTAGTGATGTGCGACGCACATTGTGCGTTCAAAACAACGAAATGGACCCATGATGATCATGATGGAGATCGAAAGGCAACATGGTTAAGAAAGTGCCCCTGTATAAAGGGGGTATTCCGAGAATTGAACTAGGGACCTCTCGCACCCTAAGCGAGAATCATGCCACTAGACCAAACACCCTTGCACTTGGCAAGGTGAAGACCATAAAGGTAAGCATCTGACTCTCAGGCAACAAACCCCTCCTTACTGTTGCTAATGAACATGCCACCGGCACACAGCACTCCTGCCCTGTGATACCCATGCCAGCACAGCATGCACCTTGGGGTGCAGGGCGAGCAGGTGAGGCAGCGAGAGCAGTCTGTTCTGTGTGATCATACACTCGCAGCGCCACCCACGCATACTGCTGCTGCTGGTACGCATGCCACGCCATCAACAAGACTGCCAACCAAACCACCACGCACCTTGGGGTGGAGAGCGAGAAGGAGAGGGAGCGAGTGCATGAGGGCAGTCTGCTCCGTGTGATCATAAACGCGCAGGTAATGCACCCCTGCCAGCGCTGCTGCTCTCGATGCCACCCACGCGCTCCTGCCACTGCTACTGCTGATACACACATGCCATCCCAGCACGCACCTTGGGGTGCAGAGCGAGCAGGTGCGGCAGCGAGTGCACGAGAGCAGTCTGCTCCGTGTGGTCATACACTCGCAAGTAATGCACCCCTGCCAGCGCTGCTGCTCTAGACGCCTTTGATGCCACCGCTGCTGACACTGCCCCCGGTGCATTCGGAAACATGTGTTGCTGCTGCTGAGACCGGTTATGTGACTGTTGGTGTTGTTGCTGAAACTGCTGCTGTGAGTGCTGCTGGTGGGGTTGAAATTGCTGGTGGTGGATGGAGGCTTGACTGGGGGCGGTGGTATCTGGGGTAGGTGCATCTATGGCAGTGGCAGCAGCAGTGCAGTGAGCAGCCCATGCGTCAGCCATCTCTGCTGCCCGTTCCACCATAAAGCTCCCCTCTGTGTCTGGAGAATAGGGAGGGGCGTAGAGTGGGGATTTCAGTGTGCTGTGGAGTGCACAGGGCAGAGACAGCAGCATGGCAGTGCAGTGAGCCGCCCTTGCGTCGGCCACCTCTGCTGCCCGCTCCACCATGAAGCTTCCTTGTGTGTCTGGTGGGCAAGCGGGAGGATGAGAACGTTCAAGGTGTGAGAGGGGGCTTAATCTGCATGCAGGGCAGATAGTAGCAGCAGTGGAGTGTGGGGCAGAGGCAGCTGCAAGGCGCAACAGCCATATATGCATCGGCCACCTCTGCTGCTCGCTCCACCATGAAGCTCCCTTCTGTGTCTGGTGGGCATCTTGAAGCGTTGCGTGAGTTGTAAGCAGACCCGACGAAGATTGCATGTGAATTAAATTGAGAATGCTTGCAGATTTGACTGAGATCGCATGCAGATTGAGTGAGATGGTGAGGGGAGAGGAGAGGGAGGGCGAGTCTCACTCACCAACGTAGACTGCTTCGCCTTCCACCCCTCTCAGCACAGCAGGCGTCTGCACGTTAATAGCCAGCTGCATGCTGTCAGGGAGACACAACACAAGCAGCAACACAGCAAGAGAAATATCAGAGCCAGGACCAACACGGGCGAATTCTTTCGTCAACTCCAAGTCACCTTGCTGCCAGGGAGACACAACACCAGCACCAGAACCACAGCGCAAACACCAAATCAGCCTCATCTCATCCCATCCCATCCCATCCCATCCCATCCCATCCCATCCCATCCCATCCCATCCCATCCCATCCCATCCCAACCCATCCCAACCCAGCCTTACCCCAGCTGTGTCTTGCCAACTCCTGGCGGCCCACCTGGACAGAAGAGACGAGGAGAAACGGCACGAGGGGAACTGATCAACACATGACCTCTCAGTGACCTTTACAATTTGTTTTAAAACCCCTACAATCATGTTGCTGGAAAGAAAAAAAAGAGATCACAGATCACACCACCACAGTGCACACTACGACGCCTCACAGCACCTCACCGCACCCCACTCACAAATCTCTGTGAGTTCCTGCAGAGCCACCCCCCCTCCCAGCATCGCAGTGCACCCACTCTTCCTCCTTCTCCACACATACTCCATACAACTGCATGCATCGCACATTACCGCACCGCACACCACTGAACTAAACCACACACCACTGCACCATACTCCACTCACATAGCTCGGTGAGCTCCTGCAGAGCCACTCCCCCACCCAGCATCGCATCCAGCTCAGCACACATCGTCTGCACCCTGCCCCTGCCCCTCTCTGCCTCTAATAGCTCCCATGCCGATCGCGCTCCTGCACGGATACAATACAGGCACATACGTGCGTACAGTGCTCCATTTAAGGCCCTTCGGCACACATGGTCTGCACCCTCCCTCTGCCCCTCTCTGCTTCTAGCAGCTCCCACGCGGATCGGGCTCCTGAACACAAATGGATGAACGGGACGGGATGCACTTGCGGTCACTACTTCAGCACACATCGTCTCGTCTGCACCCTCCCTCTGCCCCTCTCCGCCTCTAAAAGCTCCCACGCGGATCGGGCTTCTGCACGCATGCAATACAGATGCAGATGGAAAGGGAGAGATGCACATGCACTCAGTGCCTCATTCATTCAGCACACATCGTCTGCACCCTGCCCCTGCCCCTCTCCGCCTCTAGAAGCTCCCGCACTGATCCAGCCCCTGCACGGAAATTGGAAAAGGATGGATGAGAATGGACGGGAATAGCAGGAAAACAGCGGAACTGTTGGGGGCAGGTTGTTCTAATCTGGAGGTATTTTGAAGCGCCTCAAAACTCCCATGGGAATCGAGCCGCTGCACAGAAATTGGAAAGGGATGGATGAGACTGGACGGGAATGGGCTGCAATGAACGGGAAACAGAGGAGCTGTTGGGGGCGGGTTGTTCTGATCTTTGCTCATTGCTTCAGCTAGTCTGAGGTGGCATTTGTGGGACGAAAACCCCTGCCCCGGGCACAGAGGCATGTGGACAGTGGAATGACACAGCGCGTGAGGTGTTATGCGATAGCAAGAAATGGTGTGGTGTGGTGTGGTGTGGTGTGGTGTGGTGTGGTGGGACGTCCATCAGAGTCCATAGGCGGGAACTGAACTGCAATTCAGCACACCGTGGGTGCACAGACACAGACCTGGCACAAGAAGCACCCACCCACCCACCCACCCACCCACCCACACCCACAGATGCAAATACCTGCAATGCCAGCAGCGGTGGGAATGATGCTCGTCTGAATGCTCCCCGCTGCCACCCCCAACACATGCTTCGCATCCTCCAGGGACAGAGACGCATCTGGGGGAGAGGGTGGAGAAGGGTGGGGAGGGGAGATAGTGGGTGGGAGCATCAGACGGACTTGCACGTCGTCTTGCTCCCCGCTGCCACCCCCAGCACATGCTTCGCATCCTCCAGGGACAGAGACGCATCTGCTACACACGGGAGGAGAGGAGGTGGACAGAGGGGAGGTTCAATGGCGGCACATGGCTGGTAGATAAGCTGACACAGGCATGCACTCGCTGCCACCCCCAGCACATGCTTCGCATCCTCCAGGGACAGAGACGCGTATGGAGATGGAAGCATTGGAGGGTGGAGGGAGGACGGGATTACTGGGAGCATCTCGGAAGGATTTGCACTTGCATGCACTTGCTCCCCGACTGTGAGAAACAGGCAGCGAGAGAACGGCTACAAGTTGCATCTTAGCGGGATTTCACAAGCTCAAGCCGAAATGACCTCTCTCTTACTCACCCTCTCACACCCATACACTCACCCCGAGCGAGGTCCTCCGGTTTGAGCGTGTGGAAATCCGCGACTGTGAGAAAGCCGGCGGCGAGGAGACGCGATCGGAGCGACGGAGGCAAGGGCAGCGAAACCGTTTCCCGCAGGTCCATTGCGGTGAAAAGCGGTAAGGAAGGTCGAGTGCACGGGTGGATCGGAAGCGGGAAACCGAGGCGGAAGCAGGCAGACAGAAGCAGGCTGGCGGAAGCTGGCAGGCGGAAGCTGGCGAGCGGAAGCTGGCAGACGAAAGAGGGCAGGCTGGAAACAGACAGATGCTACTAGCAGCAAGTAATTAGTGGCCACCGAAAGGCTTCACACGAAAGGACGAATCGCCAACTCGGAGTCAAAAGTTCGCGATAGCACTTGCGAAACTGACTTGACTAGCTCACGATGCGAATTTCGCACGAGAGTGTGTTCTTGCATAAGCGAATTCGCAGTTCGTCATGGAGGAGGGGGCACGGAGAGGAACGAGCGACTGAAACAGAATGACTGAAACGGTTAGCTAGCGGCGACCTTGATCGATTCAAATAAACGTCGTGCTGAAACGCCGAGAGGAAACTAAAATGCCACCGAGACTGCGTCTTGCGGAAAACGAAGAGGCTTTGGTATGAGGGCGTTCTAGTAAGGAAGGCGTCTCACTCACTGCCTCGATCCCAGTTCCGTATAGGAGAGCACTGAGCTGTGCATCGCACACAGCCGCTGGACATTTGTTTACATTAATGCGGTTGGTTGCGATTTGTCGCGTTCGAAAAGGTTTTGCAGGAACAAACCCCATATTTGTCATCAAAATTGAACGAAGTGGAGAATGTCTTTATGCTTGAACGAGGTTCACTGTAAGGAGTATTTTCGTTCAAATACCCAAATCGAATCATTATTTCCCGCCATATTTTACACTTGATCCCCCCCATCTCAAGCATTTTGTGAGGACATAGAGACGTAGGCGAATAGTTGAGTTCCCAAAGCCTTCCCGGTGTGTTCGGCTCTTGTAGCAAGCTCTCTGACTGCTGCCGCTCTCTCGGTAACTTCAAGGAGCGCCTAGCCAATGAGATGACTGGGTTGACAGAGCAGCTGCTAAAAGGTTCGCCAGTCACCAGCCGAGCTTCGCTAGTAGCGCGCCGAGCTTTCTTGCCTGACAGGCAGATCTACCCACCCAGCCGCAGCTCCACGTTGCAAACCCGCGCACGACCATTACGATTCGCTTCAACACGGCAACAGATAGTAAGGCCGCAACAGATACGTTCGAGATTCGACGTCGGACCCTTGGATGCTAGCATGAGGCCACGTTTCGCTGTTCTGCTGGCTGCCGGGAGAGGGAAATGGACCAGTACAGTGACGGCTGGCGCCGGCAATGTCTCCCGTGACGCATGGCGGAACGTAACTGGGCGATCCGCGCACGCGGGGCTAAGCGAGGACCGTTGGGTTCCGGACAGGGTCAGCAGCGGCACTCACGACCAAAGTGGAGCTACAGTGCGCGATCCCCGCCGCGAACTCGCTGCTGGTAGTAGCTCGACTAGTAGTAGTGCGAACAGCGTGGTCGGCAGCAGTAATCGCGCTGTTAGTGCTAGTGCTAGTACTAGTAACCGTCAGACCGATGCTACTCGGAAAGTGGGAGCGACCACAGAGCCGTCTCACAGAGACTTTTCCGCCCCCCGCCGCTCCGCGCCGTCTCTCCCCGTAACGCCTGCCGCCGTCCCTGTTGAAACAACGGGAGTACTTGTAGCGGGTATGACGACGTTCCGAAGGGAAATGTGGAGCCGCGCAGCTGCAGCTGCTTCAGAAGAGGAAAGGCAGGAAGAGGAACTACAAGGAGGGGAGAGGCAGGGGGAGGTGAGGCAGGGGGAAGGAATGCGGGGAGAAGGGAGGCCGGGAGAGGGGCTCGCGGTGAGGGACGGTGACAGGAGAGACGCTGAGACGGACGGGAGCGGAAGGGAGGCTGAAAGAAGGGGAGAAGGAAGAAGGGAGGCGTCTGAAAGAACGGGAGGGATGCAAGGCGTGGTGGTGAACAGAGGCCGAGGGAGCATCGTCATCCCAGCAGGTAAAGGACCTTTTGCATCCCTTATTCCCATTATTTTCGGCGTTCGCAACTCACCATTGATTGCCGCCCTTCTGCCATTGCTACTGGGTGCGTGCGTCCCTTTGATCCTCCATTCCCCCATACGTGGCTCGTCAAGTTCTGCACGTTTTCTCTCCTTTTCCCCCAGTGACTTTCGATCATGCACTAGGTGCTACTCTTTCATTCTTCTCCTCGTTCCTGAGTGCTGGCAGTACGTGCAGCAGCAGCTGGCGGCCATTCACAGCCAAATGACCATTCTCATTCACACTCACATTCACATTCACATTCACATTCACATAATCACATTCACATTCACATGCACATGGACATGCACATGCACATGCACATGCAGGGCACATGCACATTCACATTCACATTCACATTCACATTCACATTCACATTCACATGCACATTCACATTCACATAATCACATTCACATTCACATTCACATGCACATGCACATGCACATGCACATGCACATTCACATGCACATGCACATGCACATTCAGATTCAGATTCAGATTCAGATTCGGATTCACATGCACATGCACATGCACATGCACATGCACATGCAAACTCACTCACATTCACATTCACATTCAGATTCACATTCACATTCACATTCACATTCACATGCACATGCACGTTCATTCACATGCACATGCAATGCACATGCACATGCACATTCATTCACATGCACATGCAATGCACATGCACATGCACATTCACATTACAAATTCAGATTCACATTCACATTCATATTCACACTCACGATCACATTCAGATTCGCATTCACATTCCCATTCACACTCACATTCATATTCATATTCACATTCATATTCACTTCCTTCTTTTCGCTCACATTCTCTTCTGCATCTCTTCGACGTCCCCCAGAGCGCTGGCAGTACGTGCAGCAGCAGCTGGCGATCATTCGCAGCCAAATACCACCACCGGCGTTCAAATCGGGGCCAGCACAACAGCAGTCAGCGTGGCGGAAAGCAACGCCATCAGCACCATCATTAGTAAATGCAGGAAAGTCTGCGGCAGGGGAAACGCCCCTAGGGAGGTACAGCACTCGAGAGGATTCTCTTCACAGCAAACCAATACTTTCTTGGCCCCAAAAACCAGTGCTAATCATACCCGTAACGGGGAACACAGAACCGCTGATAACCGCGCAGGGGGAGGATGCAGTGAATCTGGACAAGGGCGGCGAGGAGCAGCGCACAGACGAGTGGTACGCTCTCAGAGCCAACCGGCTGACAGCCAGCGCGTTTGAGAAGGCTGTGGGGTTCTTTCCAGGGGGCCGGCAGCAGCTGTGGGAAGAAAAGCTGGGGCTGAGAGCGCCGTTTGCCGGGAATGATGCGACCGCGTGGGGCCAGGGGAAGGAGGAGGAGGCGCTGATGGAGTATGAGCGGCTGACAGGCGGACACGTGGAGCATAGGTCATTCCAGGTGAGGCTGTGTGTGGGGTAAGGGAGTTGTAGAAAGGCAACGATGAGCATGCAGTGGGGCCAGGCGAGGAAGGGGAAGGTTCTAAGGGAGTATGAACGGCTGACAGGCGGGCGCGTGCAGCATAGAACGTTCCGGGTGAGGCTGAGTGTGGGGCAGGGAGCTGCACGTGCGGCCTTCTCTGCTTCTCTTCCTTATTTCCGTCTCCCTGTCTGTCCCTCTTCTCCTCATCTCTCTCACATCCCGTCAAATTCACCTGCACCACAATCCGACCTTCTCCTGCCTCGGTGCTTCCCCCCTACAAACTCTCCCCATCTGAACCTCGATGCTTTAATTCCTCGCATTCCTCGGCGTTCGACCTCTGTGTTCCCCGCCTTCCTGGCTGCCCTTCCGTATTGGCAACCACCACGACTCAACCTTCTCTCAGTGCGTCTCCCGAGGTCTCCTCCCCTTCGACACTCCGCGCCACAGTCATACCTTGCGGCTTTCCCCATATCCTGAACAGTGACTTATTCGTCGTTCGAACGTGCCTGTATCTCCACCGACTTCCGTCCCTCTCCGTTCTCCTGGCTCAGTGCCTCCCCTCACGTGCTCCTCCCCTCTGACCCTCTCTGCTTTCACTCCTTGCCTCCTTCCCGTCTCAATTGTGCCTTCCATGCCCTTCCAGGTGTACAGGGATGCTGACCCAACTTTCTCCTGGCTCGGTGCATCCCCCGACGGTCTTCTCCCCTCCGACCCTCTCTCACTGCACTCCTCTCCCCACTCGCCTGGCGTCCTCGAAATCAAGTGCCCCTGGAACCGCGGTTTACCACTCTCAGCCGCTCCTTACCCCTCCGTACCGCACTACTACATGCCCCAAATCCAAGGCCTGCTAGAAATATTCGACCGCGATTGGTTGGATTTTTTCGTGTGGACGAAAATGGGCGGCAGTGCACTGTTCAGGGTGGAAAGGGACAAGAAGTACTGGGAGTTACTGTTCACGGCGTTAGAGGAGTTCTGGTGGGTGCATTTGGTGCCTGCCAAGGAAGCCTTGACACAAGGGCAAAAGGAGGAGGATGTGAGGGGGAGGTTTTATCCAGGGCAGGCACATGTGCTGATGAGGGAGATAAAGACGAGAAGCGAGCAAATCTCGAAGGGGTGCAGAGTGGTTCTGAGGAGTGATGCAGTAAAGTAAGGATTCAATAGTTTGCTTGCATAGCTACTGGTGCCACAATGGATTGTTTGCCAAGTTGTTATCATCGCCTCATTGCAGGCCTCTGGATAGGTTTGGAAGCACTCTTAGTCGAAAGGGCAGTTTGCCCTACCTGGTCTTTCAGTAAGGGTGGGACAGCCATGTCAGTCTTGCTTATCAGGGTTGGCTGCAGTGTTACTCGTGCTCGTCAGTGTGCTATGCGCCTCGATTAGAAATTGTGCATTGTCTAGACAAAGAACTACAGCTACACGACTACAACTAGAACAATAACTGCAGGACTATATGGTTCCATCTTAGCAGAATACCACACACAATTCAATACAAGAATTCCTGGCCGGGACGTCGCTTCTTGGCAGCATTGAACAGGGCTACCACATTCACCCAGTTCAGACCTTCACTGGGCAGGAGTGCTGCAGTCATCAGATCGCACAGTTTGGCGTCGCCCAGGCAGGTCCGTTTCCAGGTCTTGATACGGTTCTGGCGACTGAAGCCACGCTCGCACTCCACCGTGCTGAGGGGGAGCACCGCTACGGCCTGCCACAGCTGCACAAGGTTCGGGTAAGCGCCCATGTAGTCGGTTGACTGCAGCATAAGCGAGAGGGACTTGTGGAAGCTCATGTTGCCGTGGTTGGTATCCATGGTGTGGAGAAACAACGGCAGCTCCCTCACGCACGCCTTGAAGCACACACCTGACAGTATGGGAGAGCAGTGAGGGGGGCGGTCGGTGCGTATAAGAGGTGTTTAGCAGCAGACCAGGGTACACACACACACACACACACACACACACACACACACACACAGCAGACAGCACATGTCAGGCTCAACTAGGTGGCGTACCAGGGAGGCGGCGGTGAAACATGTGGTCCAACATGCCCAACCACTCGCGGCACTTCTTCATCCGCTGCGCGTTGTCGTCGGGATAGCACGAAGGCCGGAAAAGCTTGGACCCGGCCAGGTCGTTCAGGTCTTCAAGGCGGAACTCGAGTCGCTCAACGCAGGCCTTTGCAAACTCCTGGCACACCGCCTTGCAGGAGTAGTAGTCACCACCAGTCGTATGCCCAGGGATCTTGCGCTCATGAAGCACGAACTTGTGCTCAGCAGCATCGCCATTCTGGTCCACGCCTTTGACGGTGACCTCGCGGTGGTCGGGGTTGCCATGCTTCTTCAAGAACGCGCAGAGCAAGGGCGATTGCTCGTTGCCGAATCGATCCTCGCAGTCCACGTAACGCACTTCGATCGTCCTGCAAGCGAGCGACACCTCCCCTGCGACCACCGTGATGTCTACCTGTGAGTGGGAATGGGATGTGGAGTTGCTGCCAGAGGTTGATTTACGATGGTTAACAACGGCAACCTTCCGCCACTAACAACAACGGGGAACTAGACCGGTAAACATGCTACCAAGATGGGAAACGACGGCAAATATGTACAAAATCAACACCCCACACGTCACCTGCTGCTTCTGGAACTTGGCGTTGAGGTCGTTGAGCACGGCAAGAATGTCTGCAAGGAAGAAGAGCATGAAGTGGAATTTGAACGAGGTAACAACTTCATAGAGCGCGTGCTTGAAGTCGTTTAGCAACACGATCGTGGCCGGCAGAACCTTGGCGAACCGCTTGACTGCCTCCCCTCGAGAGAGCCAGCGCACGTCGTTGATCCCCTGCAGCTCCAAGTTGGTTTCGCAGATGTACTCCTGAAGATGCTCGAAGCGCCTGTGCCAGTTGCTCGACCTAGATAGCTGCTCCGCCACATTGCGCACCGCCTGGTCGATGATGTTGAACTCTGGCACCTTCTCCGCGGCATCCTTTGCGGCCAAAGCCTCCCTGCTCAATGCAAAACAGAGAAAAGGAGTGATTAGAATGAGTGAGCAGGGCATGAGCAGCACAACACACCTGCCTTAAAGCCAATACCACAGATCGACTTACCTGTGTGCGACGCAGTGGCACGACACGAGGTACGGATTCTTCGCCCGGAGTCGTGCCACAACACCGTTGTTGCTGCCCGTCATGACAGCAGCGCCGTCGGTGCTGATTCCGACGATCCTGGCAATGTCAATGCCCACCGCGTCTAGGTGGGTCAAAAGCACGTCGGTGAGAGTTGCCGCGTCACATTTGCCAACCGTCAGCAGCGTGAGAAACTCACAGACGCTCTCCCCGTCCTTCATGAAAGTCGCGTAGACTATCATGTGCTTGCCGCGCGCCTTGTCTGTACTCTCGTCGAGCTGTATGGAGAGGTACGGGCTCGCCCCGATGTGCTTCAGTTGCTCTTGCCGCATGTACTTCGCGACCGCATCTAGTAATTCCGCGAAACCGTACCAGCGAAGGTCAACCAGCGAAGCTCCTGTGCCGCCATGGCACCAGCGTAGATCTCTGCCTCTGCGCTGGAAGTAGCCACAGACGACGACCGTGTAGACCTCCACGACACAGCACCAGCTCCCAGGCTGAAGCAGTAACCCTGAGTCGAGCGCTGAGTCTCCACGTCGTCAGCGTAGGAAGGGTCGCAGTGACCAGTCAACACCACTGGCTGAGTCCCTCCAAGCACAAGCCCCATGCCTGATGTAGTCGCCAGGTACTTCGCCACCCTCACAGCTGCTGACCAGTGGACAGGACGGTGTCTCCCAGTCGCAACAAAGCGAGAGAGGACGCTGAGGGGAAAGGCGAGGTCCGGCCGAGTACAAGTCATCAGGTACATGAGGCAGCCCACCAGCTCTGCGTAGGGACCACTGGACTCAAAAGGCTCGTCGGGAAAGGGGCCAGTGAGTCTGTGGTCAACAGCAAGAGGAGTGGGCTGTGTGGTGGAGAACTGGAAGTCGAACCGCCGAAGGACCTGCTGCACCATGTGTGACTGCGACAGTGTGATGGTGCGAGCGGCTCTATCCCGGGTAATCTGCAAGCCAAGGTAACGCTGCAGCTCACCCAGGTCAGTGCACTTGTGTCTCTTCTGCATTTCGGACTTCACTTGAGCCAGGGCTGCCCTGTCTGCTGTAGCAAACACCAAGTCGTCAACGTAGACAAGGATAAAGAAGGGAGAAGAACCCCCTCGAACAAACAGCGACGGGTCGGCGGAGGACGGGCTGAACCCAAGGTCACGAAGCGTGGAGCGAAGAGTGTCGTGCCACTCACGGGGCGACTGGCGGAGACCGTAGACTGGTCGCCTCAGGCTCCACTGGGTCCCAGGTGGGAAGGTGTCAGTGAAGCCAGGAGGACGGCGCAGCCAGATCTCCTCGTGCAGTCGGCCCTGGAGGAACGCAGTGGAGAAGTCGAGGGAGTGCAGCTCGTAGTCTCGCTGCGCTGCTATGTGGAGTAACACCCGAAGAGTAGTCATCTTCGGGGTCGGGGCGAAGGTCTGGAAGAAGTCAACTCCCTCACGCTAACTGAAGCCCCTAGCCACGTAGCGCGCCTTGAACACCGGCGGTGCTCCAGGCGGCCGCTTCACCTTGAAGAGCCACATGCCATCGACTACGTTCGCCCTGGGAGGGGGAACTGCGTCGACGTAGGTGCCTGTGGATCTCCAAGACGCCAACTCTGAGTCCATAGCCGCTTTCCACTGAGAGGCCCACGCCCCTGACACTGCCTCGCGGTAAGTGCGAGGAGTCGGTATGTCAAGGGCGTCGGGGTCTCCCTCAGGGGAGAGCAGCATGGCACACACAGAGGGAGAAGCGGCTGCCCAGTACTCCAGCTCAGACTCTCTGTCCTCTAGGACGTCACAGCCAAGGGCAAACTCACCCCTGACGGACAGAGGACGGTAGGGAGGAGCTGGCACCACACGGGTGGCGTAGTCAAGGCGGCTGGCGGCAGCAAACTCAGCGACAGCGGCAGTGAGAGCAGAGACCGACGACGGAGGGAAACGAGAGTCGGTGATAAGAGTGGCGAGGACACGTGCGGCAACAGGACGAACAGTGCGGTAGTAGTCAGTGATAGGAGTGGGGAGGGCTAGGAGAGAGGACGGAGAAGGAGACGGGAGAACGGACACAGGAGAAGGAGAACGACGACGAGACGTACAAAGGAGGGCAGTGTGGAGGTCAGTAACAGGGGACGAGTGACGAGCACGCGGAGGACAACGAGTGACCAAGTCGCGACGGACCGAAGGAGGAGGAGACTGGGGAGGAGTAGAAGACCAGACCGCCGGACGGTCGTCAGGAGGAGGCAACGGAGGAACAAACACAGGAGGAGACTGGGGGCGGACAGGAGGAGAGGAGGAAAGGCCAAGGGCCCGCAGGCCACTCACAGGTGGGAACAACTGCCGCTCCAGAGGAAGCTGCGGTGGCGGCGGCGGCTGCTGCTGCGGCGGCGGCGGCTGCGGCTGCGGCTGCTGCTGCTGCTGCTGCCGCTGCTGCTCCAGAAGTTCCAGTACCCGCAGCTCCTGCCGCTCCCTCTCCAACCGCTCCTGCTCCTCACGCTCACGCCGGCGGGCAGCCTGGAGACGTGTGTCGTGGCGGTGGGGAGGCGGAGTGGACTCCGCAGAACCTGGGTCAGACTCCTCAGACTCAGCACCCCCAGAACCAGCACCTCCAGTGCCAGGACCTCCAACTCCAGCACCCCCAGAACTAGCACCACCACTGCCAGCACCTCCAGCTCCAGCACCCCCAGAGCTAGCGCCACCTGCGCCAGCACCTCCAGCTCCAGCACCCCCAGAGCTAGCGCCACCTGCGCCAGCACCTCCCGCTCCAGCACCCTGCGACCGAGTACCCCCAGACCGAGCACCGCCAGCGGCTGCACCTCCAGCTCCAACACCAACCGAGTCCACAGTAACCTGTCGCGGAAGTGCCGAAGGCTGCTGAGGGGACTGTGAGGAGGACTGTGGGGAGGGAGCCGCTACCTGACGCGCGACCGAGGGTAGAGGGGTAACGTGGGACACACCAGACGGGGCAGGACCAGGGGGGGGCGGGGGTACCGGAGGGGCGGGAGCAGGAGGAGGAGAGGGTGCAAGGAAAAGAGGGGGAGGGGGTACCGGGAGACCTCGACAGGGGTACCGGGTGTAGTAGG